TCTTGTGAACAGGATCTGATCAAGTAGACAGCGGCGACATATATGGCATTATTCTTACACCTTTAATTTTGTGGTATTATAGTCACAGGACGCAACTGAGATTAATATATCTAATGATATGCGGGCCCTATAAGGGGGCCAGAGGTGGGTGTTGGAGATCAGGGATTCTGATTTCGAGTAGAGCTACCCTACTTAGGGTGATTCCTAGGTATCGGATCCCTGTATTCCTAACAAATATCTAAATATTCTCTAATGCTCTCTCTATTATCTACAAAATTCTTGATTCTCTTTCAAATTCTAGTAAATTCTGAAAATCATTATCCTGTTACAAATAGTATTGAAAATAGACATACTTAATAAAAAGAGCATTTCGATAAAAAATTTCGATCTTGTACTATAAATTAGTACGGAATCAGAAAATCTTTTTAAATAATACTGAGAGGAGTTCCATGATACACTGAAATTTATTGTCCAATTATTCAAGTTTTTATTGTAGTTGTAGCTGGTCATCGCACTCAACTTGTAGACTACTCCAGAAAGTATTTTGATGAGATTACTTAGTAAGTACTTCATGAATACTTCTGACTAAGAACTGTAGTATTGTGATTTTCAAAAGCTTCCTCCACTATAGTATCATCCTGTAACTTCATAGTTTTAAAATATCTTCCTCTACCTTTCCTCTCCTTGTCCTCCAAGTCTTTCCTTGAGATTGTATTTTTAACAGTTGTGAGGGGGATGTTGAGGTAGTCAGAAATCTGCTAATATCCTATCTAAGGCTTATATAACCTAAGAATTCTCCAACTACTAAACTTAAAGAGGTGATGGGTTAGAATAGGCTTTTTTGGATAACTGCAAAGAATATAAGGCATAGTATTTAAAGGAAAACGAATCAGATAATGTGATTGGATTTTGATTGAGTTGATGTAATTCCTTTTGGTGGGGTTGAAAATGGGCAAGAGTGATGGGTGATGGTTGCCATGCACCTTGAGTGGTTAGTTATTTTTGTTAACAAACAATATTATACTTTTTTGAATTGTGACTTTACCGCCAGAATAAGTTTCCCCCGAGTATATCCCAATCGCCCCATTGTGGAAGTAGGCTATAGTAGCAGAGTCACATATTACCACTTGGTGCCCATGCAGAGTAAAAGAAATCAGGAGAGATGATAAAGGATCTAGTATAATCATTATTTTGCTCACTTTTACTCTCTCCTATAACATCAAAATCTCTTGCTCCCTTTTATTTCTTCACCTTATTTTTTCTACCACCCAATTCAAGGCAAACAATATACTTTCTATCAAACCAGTTTCCTACTAACAATTTTGTAATACAGATATTCCTCTTCGGCCTATCCTCAGTAACTCTTCTCAGATATCTGTAATGTTTCTATGTACATGTTAATATATAGTGATAGGTAACGATACCTTTCCTTATATATATATCTAGTTATAGATATATCTTTTTCCTTTGATAGTTCTTAAGCCCTTGGGCCTATGTTACTAATACTCGCTTAGGGAACGCCTATCATTTTATTATATAGAGATATTACCCTTAGACTTGTGAGCAATATAAGGATAAAGAGCATAAAGATGTTTTATTTATATAAAGTAATAAGTAAGAAAATTACTTATAATAAAGTATGAAGAGCCTATCCTCCTCAACCGTACTGGCCTCCTTATATAGTGCTCTCCTTGTCAACTCTGACTCTAATAACTCATAACTATGAGTTAAGTGAAATCCTTGTAACAGGTCATATGACTCAAGTGAGTCATATGAGTAAAGCCCATGACTCATAATCAACTCATTTGCCAAATATAACAAATCATAATATAAATAAGTCATATACACAAAACCCATAACTCATAATCGAGTCTTGTGCGAAATATAACAAATCATAACATAAACAAGTCATATGCACAAAACCCATGACTCATAATTGAGTCTTGTGCGAACTCCTGTCACATCAGTAACAATATCCTATTTTAAGTCTTTAGTCTCAACTAATTCAGCCTAGTCCTTGACCTGTCCTGTTCTACTAGCCTGCCTGTCCGCAAGTTGCACTTGTTGGATCTGAGTTTCTGGTACTGGTAACTCTCTCGCTAGTTTTATGGACTGTACCCCTTCAGCCATCAACTATGCTGCTAAAAATACCCCTATAGCAAGCATTCCATCAGAATTACTATTAAAAAAAAAAAAGAGAGAAAGAAAACAGGTACAATCAGCTAATATTGTGTGTACTAGGATATTCACAAATGGAAAGTGCTCAGTGTCACTTTTGGGAAGATGGCTTCTCAGTTTGATACTCATTAATAGTTGAATTCTGTAAAGTTATGTCAAGAACTATGATTGTCATTTCTATTAAAATATTAGTTTGTTAAAGGTAATATAATTTATTTAGTAAAATCTTTACTAACCAGTTGGTGCAGAAGCAGAAAAGGATATACTGGTCAGAACCCAGTTGCCAATAGTTGAGAGGTCCGTTATCAGTAAAATTATCAGTAAAAGAGTGAGATTATGCTATAGGAAAGTAGATTGGAGCAGGATCTGGGGAAAGGGAAACATGAGAGTTGGTGGGTTGGCAAGAGGATATGCAGTTAAGGGAATGGAGATGATTGTTGTAATTAAATTCTTGATAGTATCAACAAATTGAGATGAATTTTCCAGATCTTGTTCTTCTAACTGATAAAAGGTAGATCTTATTCGCTCATTCATCTCACCAAAACGTAGTACACAAAGGGTTTTATTGTCAGAAGGACGGATAATTGTTGTTGATATTAGAATTCCCTCACCAGGCTGCCTTTCGTACATTTCAAAGCCACCACCGTTCAGCCTTTCTTCATCGATCCTCCACATCTCTGGAGTAAGTACCACTCTCAAGGATCTCATGACCTAAACTGTCTCTCGCTCGTGGTTCTGCTTGATCCATATGAAATAGATGCTGGCAGGGAAATTGATAACGTCTAGAAAAGAGACAATGAAAAATAAATAAACCATTGCTGCATTCATGGACAGGTAATGGCATATCTTGTTCTAACCGAATTGCAATGTTTCTTTCTTCTAATGCAATCGTTTTCTGTACTGCAAAAGGAAATTGCTTAAGTGAAGGATAGGTTTTTGTCAAGGTTGTATGGCGTGTCCGTCCATCCATCTGAGCAGCTAATATCTCATTATCATCATGTGCACAGTCATGAACAGTGCGCACACATCCATAGATTCCATGAGTAGTACTATCACCTTTTCTTAGGCCAGATCCAAGTTTTAACCGTGCATGTCATGCTTCACAGGCATTCGAAGAGGTAGCCTGAAGGAGTAGTTGATTATGTTGTCTCGCAAATATGGCCCAGCTCTGTCTTGTCTCCAACCATTCTTGTTGTATATACCGCTTTTCAGACTCAGTTGAATCTGCTGTAATCACTAAATTACACAAAATAATACAGTCTGTTTCGCTTAATACTCTTATAGCGTGTCGCATATGCTCATAGGCAACTTGGGTTTCTTGGCTCCGAAATCGTCGACATAGTGTCCTTTCTGAGTGCAATGTGCATAGAAGATGTTGTTTAACATGTCCTTCTTTTTCAAAAGCCTTCCTGACAGCAGCTTTCTCTATTGCACTATTATCAGTTAAGGGATATTCCATTTTCCATTGAAATCTGGACCACTCATATATTTTCCATAATGCTGTTGCCAGGATATCCGAGTTCTCTTTCTCAACTATGCAATTTGCTCCTGGTACCCATATTGCTGCCTCATTCCGGGCCATGAATGTAAATAAATTATAATCATGAACGTTAAATTTATGGGTGGAGTCGAAGATTGTTAAAAGTCCACGGTTTATCAAGGTCTGTAATCAATCTGGATAGGCAAATACGAGTCCCCTTGTTTGTTCTTCTGCCTTCCCTTGTGCAGTAATCGTTTTACAAAAGTGTCCCTTTTTAATAAGAAACTCTGTTACCTGTTGTCAGTCCTCGATAGGGGTTGTCCCAATAGCTAATTTCCGAACACCCAAAGAGCCTGTTCTGAATTCTTGACCGATGTTTGCTAATCTTTTCTATTGTAACTTTTAATTAATATGAAAATTCTATTATCTAAAATCTATTTTATGAACTAGAGAGAATTAAGAAAATACTAAGAGAAAAGAAAGAATTTTAATAAGAGGAGAGGTTTAGCTAACCGATCAATAAATGCACCACCAATACTTTCTAGCCGTTCAGATCCTCCTGCTCGACCAGTTCCTTTTAAGCGATCTCTGACTTGAGCAGGAGTATATCCTCGAGCAAGTTCATTCCGAATAATTTCAGCTAAAAAAGATGACCGTTTGCGCACCCAGGATTCCTCCATACTATGATTATGTTCTCCGCCATTTTTCTCCTTTCCCTTGATCTGTTCTATCCAGAAGGTTTTAGTAATCTCTGATGCTATTGATTCTGTAACTTTAATCTTCATTGGACACTTTCCTGGTTCGTAGTAGGTAGTATTTCTTGCTTTGCCAGAGAAGTTTTCTTCAGGAAAAGGATTGGCTTTCGAGGACTCTTGTGTTTTACTAATCCGACAAGAATTGTACCGTGTAATTGACCGTTTGTGCTTGTGCTTCTCACAGCTTGTATGCGTCCAAAACCCATCCACCAACGGCCAATAAATCAAATACTGCTGGTTGGTAAGAATAAGGTTATCCTTTTTAATATGATACAGGTCTTGAATCCATTGTTCATGTTGATATGGGACTGGAATAAGGAAATCTGACATTCTTTTTGCTTCGCTTAGGGAGGATCGTTGGTGATGTGGAGTTGTTCATTGCCTACAATCACAGTATACCCCACTTCTCCTCACTTTGCATTTACAAGTGATAAACCATGAGGCTATATACCTCTAGGTGCGTGGTTGTCAGACTAGGCTAGCATCTCAACCACCCAAGCGCGTTGCCCACTTGACCTCTTAAGCCCTTCTCCGAGCACGCAACATCCAACTGAGACCCCGCTGCTATAGCCTACTCCCCCGTCGTGTGCAAGAGGGAACCCTTCAATTTCCATTTGGGCAGCAAAGCCTATTTTACATATAACATGACAGATGCATACAACCCCCGGGAGATCGTACCGTAGGTTGGAATACCAACCACGAGATTCCGTAAACGCACAATAAAAAAGACTTCCGCCATAAATTTGATAAAAACGGATCGAGTTACTTAAATTCTTAAAATAACTAATCAACCAACCCACGTAGCAACTGGATAAAAGCAACCATAAAACATCTGATCTGATCCGTTATCTTGAAAGGAGAAGAGAGGAGGATAAGAGAAGAGTAATATAAACCACGGCAACGCACGTGTACCCGACCAACCAAGAGCAAATACCGTAGCGATGCGGAAAAGAAAAACAAAAAAGAGAAGGAAAGCATAAGCCAGACGGTTGGAAAGAGCAATCCATCCATAGCCAACCACCCAACAGAAAAAGATACCAATCCACTTTCCACCGCCTTCCACAGGTACAAATGAATGAAATTTACTACTGCCTCCTCTGCCACGCCTCCCTCTCCTCCTCCAACATCTCTACCGCATTCTCCACATTCCCCTCTACAATCTGTGCGTAAACTCTCAACCTCTCAATTGCGCTCTCGCCTCCATCATCGCTATATCCCATCTCAATCAACGCAGCAACGCACTTATCAATCTTGTCTCCTTCCTGGTCCGGGATAGGAGGGATGATAGTTCTTCTATTGCGCGACTGTCCACCCCAGTTTCTAGCGTCTAGGCCAAGTCTATTCTCGCGCATTCGCCTGCGCTCAAGGAAAGGATTTGTGCTTGGGGAGTGGTGCTCGTTAGGCTCTCTAGGTCTAGTCTGTTGTCTCCTGGCTGGCTCTGCGGGGGCGATTGGACCAACGCCGCGCTCGACGACCGGGGAAGCGGTGGGAGATTCCCTAAAGGCGCTCATTGGAGCCGGAGGTGGGGGTGGTGGAATCACGACGGTTGCATGAGGCCACTCGCCTGGAATAGACACTGCGGAAGCTGGCGGTTCAGGGGCTGGAGGAACAGTCTTAGATGGGGAAGGCTGCCTTGGAGGGGTCAAAAACGGATTCACTAGCGCGTCCAGATCCTCGGAGCGAAAGTTGGAAACCGAGGCTCTATGGTTCAAATCACGGGAAAGACGTGGTGGTATGGGGGATCGAAAGTTGGCTAGAGATGGAAATTGTCGAAGCCTAGGGTGGCCCGGGGTAGGGGGCATAGATGCGATCGGGTTTGGTCTGCCCGAGCCCCCAAATGAAGGAGCACGATTTGGTGGTTGGGTGATTGCCCAACCATCTCTTGGTTGCCCTCCTCTCCTAGCGCCATCCCTCATTGTACTGGAACGACGAATCGGTCGAGGGGCTGGCTCCGGATCCCTGTTCCTATCATCTCGCCCCACACGCCGATCTCTGGGACCTTCCGAGCTGGGAGTGTACTCCTCCTCGTGGGAGCCAACATCTCTCATCGAAACATCGGAATCCTCTCTCCTCAAAGGCCATTCCGGTGGTGACATCCCGGAACGACGGGATCTTGCCTCTTCCGGGACCCATCCACGACTCGGGGATCCCCAATGGGACGAATTGTGCCGGCGCGGGTACGGGGGGATTTGGTGGCGCGGGAATGGGGGGGAGGGCGGGGATATAGGGGCTGGGCTGTGGGGGATGCGGGGAGGTGGCGGCGGGGGTAGCGGCGGCGCTGGCATCCGTAGTCCCTGACCAAAGCAATCGGGGGAAAAATGGGGTGGGAAACGAGATGAATGGGAACGGGGATGACGAGATGGATGTTGGTGATTATACCCAAAATTGGCAGGTTCCAAAGGATGAAACACGCCAACATCCTCGGATTGCATGGGGTATCCAGCATGGGGGAAGTAGGAAGGTGGCCCTTCAGCAGGGGGCTCAAGCGGAGGCATAGCAGGGGCACTGGAACATGATTGATTATCCAGTTCACCCAGAGAAACAGGCTCATGGGGCATAGAAAGCGGGGGGGCAGGGCTAGGAATCCTATTTGCATCGTTGGAAGATGGAACCTCTCCCGCCACCGGAATGATTCCAGTTCCCTCAAGGTTGTCATGCATCTCCCAAACAGACTTCGCCCTCGCCCTCCGCTCGCCCTTTCTATCCCTCCTACTAGCATCGTCCTCCTCCTCCTCCCTCTCCTCCTCATCGTCAGTCTCCACGGTAGCCCTATAACTTCCTGCCCTCGACTGCTCCATAACCCGCGTGGAGGTCTGTGTGTCAGCCTCCACGGGATCACCAAGACTCTCGGCGGAACCACTCCCAAGCGCTTTTTCAACTTCCTCTCTCGCAACACCAGCACCCTGAACTGCCATATGGCCAATGGTCTCTGCCAGCTCCCTCACCTTACGACCATGAGCCTCCAGCTCCGAAGTATCCATATCCCTCGTGACCTGAGCCGCATTTTTAGCCGCATTAGCCGCATCAAGTGCCACACTTTGAAGCTGGGAAGTGAAGGCCCCGAGCGCAGTAGTGAGCGCATTATTAAAGGCACCAATCGTCGGCCTAGCTTGCGGCGGGACATCTCCGCGAAGCTCAAGAGCAACCCTTCCGATATCCCGAACTATTTCACGAAGACTTTGAGCAAGCATCTCCCCATTCCGGTTCGCAGGCTGGATTGACGGAACGGGCGGGCTAGGTGGTGGGCTCGGCGCGCGCAGAGGAGAGCCTTCCCCTGGCCTGGCAGCCTCTTGCATGATCCTCTCAAGTTCATTGCTAAATGCCGTCAAGAGAGGTGATTGAGGGGTATAGACATCGGTACCAGTTTCGCTATGACTAAAATAAGAGGTATCATTGTCACCGATATCGACAAGCAAACCACTCTTCGCCGTACTCGGTTCCGATTCGCTCAGCCCGGCGAGAGCCTTCCCTTTTGCTTTCGCCTTGGCATGGCTAACATCCACAAATCTCCTCTGCCAAATATCGAGGGCAGCTTGATAATCCGGGTCGGTTCGAGGCAAGAGTAAGTCAAAAATAGCCGAGCCTTGCGTGGGAAACACATCCTCGACACGAGTGTAAAGTTCCTCCGCAGAGCCGACCTAAAAAGACACACGGGTTAACACCCAAACCAAGCAGTAAACAAAGAGTCCAAATTTGCGGTGAGGGGGACAAAGGGGGCTCGGCTCACGGTAATGATTTCGCCATCATCCTCGTCCAGATAACTTAAAGTAGTTTTAGGATGTTCGCGAATAAGACTGTCATACTCTTCATGACTCTCAAGTCTAATCTCTGGCCACGCATCGTGAAGATAGCCCTCGCGTGCAGTACTCTCAGGATCCTCGGCTGGCCAGCGCAGGCCACGAATTTCGAAGGGGGGAAGCATAATATTTTTTGTGGGATATAACGAGCAAATCGGCCCAGTTCAACTATAAATTTGTCGAGCTCGCGAATCCTCGGTAACAGTGGGTGAAAAGTAGGAAGTTTAACAAACGGCACGATAAAGTGGAGAAGTGCTTCGGTTAAGATGGCAAGTAGAGTAGGGCGGTGTCAGCTTATGGCAGCGACGATGGTGATGAGTGTGGGAGGATGTATGAATTCTCAGTACCGGGCGGTTGGAGCTCTGTAAGAGCCCTACGATTGATGGGAAGGAATATTCAACAAGGTAGATATGGTGCTGATCTCTTATGGTACTTTTAAACGGTGCGTGGTAAGGTGAGATACGAGTAGTCGGAAAAGAGAAAAGCGGGGATGAGTTATGATGGATAAAGCGTGGGGTAGATAGGGGGGGAGGTTGGAAAAGTGAGGTGTTTGGAGGAAGAGAGGGGAGAGAGAAAGGGAGGAAGGGAGAGAGAAGGCAGCAAGTGGCAGTGACAAGCAACAAACCAGCTTTCGTCAGCCGTTGTAGGTAGAATTTGTCTTGGGGTACGGTACCGGTAAGCGATGCGAACGCGCGGCGTTGCCACAGAAGGGATTCACACCAATACTATGATACTCGGGTGGATTTGTCACAGTACATTGTACATTCCATACCATCAGAGTAATGTGGAGCATGAGACAATCATGTTCGTATCGGTGCCACAATTTCCCGTGGAAATGTTCTGTTCACTCACACACACCTCGTGTCCATCTCGATGCTTGGAGGGATTCGGGCAAAGGGTTGCTGCAATGAGACTGGTAGTTGGTGGGGTCATCCCCTCCAATGCCACACCTTACAGGTATCATAGTATACCAGTATGATAATACTCATTTTTAATGGTTACCGCACACCTACTGTACTACGAGTACGGATGCTGTAACTTGGCCGATGCTAACTTGAAATCGGTCGGTAAAAACTCTTTTCTACTGTAGGAAAACGCTTGGTTGAGCATCCCGTTTGCCGACGGGATGTGTTGAGATTACGATGCCGATATTGCTTGTTTGGCACCACGAGAACTCTGTTCTTCACCCAAATCACACCTCCTCCACCTAACGTGTCAGGTGTCTCCAAGGTCCTTGACAACAAAATATCAACGAATACTCGGGTATGCCGATATCCAGTTTATTTTGAAGGAAATATTCAGAATTTCCATGGTTTCGCCTGGCCTCGTTTCCCCGCTTGGAGGCTAAAGCACTGTTCTCCCGGTACGGGTGAAGGTTGTCTTTTGCCGGCGTGGAGAGAGACATTGATGGCTTGTTCAAGTACAGTACTGTACCAGTACCGGTATTCCATGTGGAGGGCCCGAGATTGGCCAAATTTATTCAACTGGAGGTCCGATTGTTTCTTGCTCGCCACCAATCACCGGTACGGGGGTACCGGTATTGCTATGAAATTTTCAAGTTACTCAACCCCCCCCCCGGTTTTCCTTTCACACACTTTAGAAATGGACGCGAGAGAGACGAATCGCACACTATTAAATACCGGTACAGTACTTATAGGCAAAGCACCATCCCTCTGCGCAGTGTTGTGCTGTACTGATAGTATTTATACTTCTACTGCTCGTAAAATTTGCTCGTCTAGATATCCCACCGGTCCCACACAAAGCACGGGTACAACACCACCACCCGTACCATGCTCGAGTACGGTAGCCAAAAAAGCCACCCCGATTCGCCAAATTGTTCACATTGCGCGTCAACCCGCCCCCCGCACTGACAACGCAGCGCTATCCAGGTGAGGTCCATAGGCAACGTTGCGACGAAGGCCTTGGCCGGATCAAGGGAGGGTGGTTTCTGAGTAGGAGTTCCCCTCTTCACCCTCCGAGCTTTTCGAGGATGACAGCGAAGATGAAGGTACCGGTATGTGAGCGGCAGTGTTGGGGTCGACGGAGGGACATACCTGTACTCCAAACTAGGCTTTTCTTTGCCAATCGTGTGGCCTCGATTCAGTTATCACGGCATGTTTTTTCCGCATTTCCTGAACCCCTTCCCTTGCCAACACTGTTCGTAGGGCACAGTGCCGGTACTTTACTCGTACTGTGCTCTAGAGCGGATGCATGACATGATTCAATGCTCAAGGCAACCCTTATTCTGACTCAGTATACTTTTGTACCACACCACCACACCTACTCGTACCGGTATCGCATTGCGCCTCAAACCCTCAACCCGCTCCCCTTTCCGTATCTAGAGCCCCGCTATCCTATCATACTACCGGTATTGTACCATAGGAGCTTGCGCGGCGGAGAGTTTGGCCGGTGACATTCATAGTGTGTCACTCGATTTCTGATTGGTTAGGTTCTTTTTAAGGTGTCATGTTGTGATTGGTCCCTTGGGAAATGATGGTTTTTGGAGTTTTTGGTGGGGTTCTCCGAGGCGCACGGAGAGTGGGTGGAAATGGGATATCCACCGTGCCATGCGTACATACGACCTCCTCCTTACCGGGAATACTACAACTTCACCATATCCTACTTATCATACTTCCCAACCTCCCGGGTCTGCGGAATACACCAAATAAGAGTGGTCAAGAGCTATCTCCGTGCAGTTCGATCGCTCTAACTAGGATCGAGTCCCACAATGTGAGGGAACTGCCGTACAGACCTTCTACAACGTTATCTCCGACTACCCGGTTCTAGCATCGTCGGGGCGGGGCGGAGATCTAGAAGCATTTAACATTGGGCCTAATCCGGTTTTGTGGAAACACAACAAGGGAGGAATGGAATTGATAGGGATGCTTTCCTCCATTGCTGCCCACAAGGCTGATTCCCCTGTGCGGGTGGCAGCATAGACGACATGATCATGGGCCCGTTTGCTGCTTCCAGACAGTAACTCCAAACTCTCCAGAGGTCATAGATATTGTCTACGTGTGCGCAGGCAGCCATAGCGAGGCCGGCCTTAATTGTATCCAACTCGGGAGGGTAAGCGAGAAAGCGAAAGGTAATTCTCCAACCTCGTATCTTCAGACCCCCTTAGCATACGACGGCTCCCAGATCCGTCCACGACATGCTCCCATAGTGCGGCATCGGTTCAACGCCGATCCTCCGAATGGGTCCCTATCAACCGGACGTTGAGGGTACCCATTACTGGCAATTACCGGTCCTTCCATCAACCGCTCCCGCTCTCGTTTTCTTCAGAATACCCATACTTTCTTGCACAATCCGTCCTCCGGCCTCCTCAGTTCGTTGTCTTCTGGGCTTTCCCTCGACAGCCCTCGCTTTGCACTAAACACTACCTAACACACTTCTAAACGCACAATACACTAAAGCACGAATCCGACCGGGGGGTCCAAAACCGTGCAGGGGGGGGGGTCAAAATTATGTCGATCCTCGGGTAATTTGCTTTTGGGCTCTGCTCGGTGTTGGAAATCTGACCCCCTCGCACAGGAATAATGTAAAGTACGACGGAGTCAGAAGTTTTGGCTAATGCAACAACGGGTGCATACACAATTGATGTTTAACAACCCATCGCAACTAATAGCTCGGATTAATTGGAACTTTAGAGATAGGAAAATATAAATAATGAAGATACACTAAAATTCAAAAACTAGTATTCGGCACACCATTCTTTGGCATTCAAAACTGTAGCTACTCTCTTAGGCATAGACTCCCATAACTTTTTCAAGAAATTCCTCCTTGATATCCTTAACTCAAACCTCATCAAAGCTTTCTGCTGAGTATCTCCTAACAGTATCTGGATTACCTTTAGACTTGTGAATGCTAGAAAATCTCTTATATAGCCTTTCCTTAAGAACCTTCTGATAGTTCTTGATAGATAGAAATAATACTAGAGAAATTTAGGGGCCATTTTATAACCTGTAGGTTGTTTTCCACTGACCAAGCTATAGTATCTACTGCAGTATGCATTTTTGCACTATCCTGCTGAAAAATAGTATTTTCAATGGTATTCTCTATCTCTTACAAAGTCTTTATCAAACCATTCTCGAAAATATTAATATAATAATTATATCAATCTATTTATACTTCTCTCAAAGATGGAAATCGGATAATCCTTATTTCTTTTCCAGATACAAGCCCAAATAATCATTGATTCACCTTCTACCCTACTATATAGACCAATTCCTTTACAGATTACTTATTTTTCAGAATAATTTTACTTTTTGTTGTTCTCCACCTGGGTTTTTTTTTTTTTTGATATTTCTAGAGGCTGCGGAATATTTTACTGTCCTGACTAGTAAGTTACTTGAGAGGTAATATTATTGTGCAATTTTTCCGGGGTCTGGTAGTATGTCTTTTTTTAGCATTTTGAAAAGGTACTGATAAAACTAAATGCATATGGCTCGGGTGAGAAGAATTTGTTTTGATATTCAAGTTTGGGCTAAAACTGTTCAAGTTTGAAAATTGTGCAAGGATGATTTAAAAATTTCCAACATGGTGATAAGACAGTTTTGGGCTTTTGCGAACATTTCCTTGCTCTTTCTCAAAATCTGACAGGTATCCTGTAGTACTATAACTTAACATGGTAAGGAGTAGTGGTGTAAGGAGGTGGATCTTCCGCTAGTATCATACGCTTGTGTGCAGTAGTTGGGGAACCCTGTCACGGATACATTAAATCACCAAAGATCACTCGCTTTCATTCTTTCTTTTTCAAACGACCGACTTGATTTGTGAGGACTAGGGGGGGCATACCCGCTGTTTATGCACTGAAGAACTACGGTAGCTATGGTATGATACCGACTTCCTTGGTTTGCACTACGTTACCAGCCGCATCACTAGCTGATGCAAGAAGTCGGCCATGCCATATATATGGAAGGATGCTTCAACAATTTCTTCCGGGAAAGAACCCATAGCCGGGTCCATGAGCTATCTAAACTGATGTACACAGTGAAACAATGCACCATATCGCTATCCCTTGCGCCACCTAAATATACGCCCCCCAACAACCCCCAAAATACTAGAACCCACACACGACGGACTACAGACTCATCAACTCACGAATCACAAACCCTTCCGACTCGCCGCCCTCCGGCGCCAGCGGAACAGTAGCAACCTTCTCCTCCCTCGGATAATCCGTAATATCCCGACTCCCCATCACCCCGTTAGTCAAAACTCTGACGACCGCATCGTGCGTGGCCGCCGCCGCAAGATGAACGGGCAACCACTCGTACACATCCTTAGCATCCCTGTCCGCGCCATGTTTCAACAGCAGGGCAACGACCTGATCGTGGCCAACAGAGGAGGCAGTATGCAGCGGGGTCCAACCCCACTCATCGGCTGCGGAAATGTCCGCTCCGTGGCGGAGGAGTTGGTGCACCATTGACGGGCTGCCGCTTCCGGCGGCAAAGTGTAGTGCTGTCATGCCGAGGGGCCCGATGGTGTCCACGTCGAAACCGTTTGTCAGGAAG